AGGTGGCTCGAGTGGTCCATGACACACCATGGACCCTCTGACCAGACAGCACATGCCACGTTTGCCTTATTCCTGCAAGCTTATCTGCTTCCTAAATAACACTGTTCACATGGATACAGATCTAGAAAGGGTTATAAATACATGTATTTATATATATATTCACACATTTTAGTCCCTGTAATAAAGGTCTGCTCCTTTCTCTCCTGTGCTGCTGGAGCAGCTGCCACCACTGGCGGCACTGGGGGCTGTTCCCAGAGTAACTGTGTCCAGCCCAATCCTCCAGCAGCTGCAGGAAAACACGGATTAGTGCTGAAAGGAGACACGGGGGGCTCAGCTCAGCCCCATCTTTACTATTTACAGAAAAGAAACCCCTCAGACACAAAGTCCCACCTTCCATCCAGCTCACAAAGCAGCTCTGCTCAGCCCAGCTGGGCTGGAGCCTGCACAGCTCAGCCGGGAGAACTGGGATAAACGGGAGCATCATCCAGACATTTACACTGTAGGCAATAAACAACGAGCGGCATGCAAGGGTTTAGGTAAAGAAGTCAAAAACAATCGAGGGCTTTAACATTTAGAAGTGTGTCCTGATGTGGCCAAGCCAACATGGCAACAGAGGGGATGTTAAAACAGCAGGTGACTCCAGCCCTGTGACCTCAGCAAACACGAGTCCGTTAGTTCCACACAAACACATCCCAAGTGCACCGAGACCATCAGATTCCAAGAGATGATTCATCTAGGTTGACAATAAATATCTCCTTGCAATGGGTTTTCTCCTGTAACACTGTGTGTTTTCTTGGACACGTGAATAGGGGTGGAGAGGGGAACTGGGATGCTTTGCCAAAGGCTTCACCCACTGGGAAAAGAAAAGCTGCCTGTCCCTGTCCCTGAGTCATCACCAACAGCAGTGAGAACCAGCACTTGGTATTGAAATGCCAATCTGAGTTTCCTAAGAAAGGAGTGGTTATGGATTAAATTCTGATATTCTTCCCAGAGGTTCAACCTCTTGTTGCCCAGAGAGGTTGTGGACTCCCCATCCCTGGAAGTGTCCAAGGCCAGGTTGGACAGGGCTTGGAGCAACCTGGGACAGTGGAAGGTGTCCCTGCTCACGGCAGGAGGTTGGAATGAGATGGGCTTTAAGGTCCCTTCCAACCCAAACCATTCCAGGATTCCATAATTCAGCATATTACTGCAAAGCCTCTTTTGGACCAGTATCAAAGGTTCTCCAGCTTTTGAACATCTTACATTAAAAACAACAAGTTTTAAAGCAATTTTCCAGCAATTCCTATGTGAAGTCTACAGGGGCTCAGGAAGCCAGCGTCTCCTCCCAGCATTTCCTCTCCCCGTCTGCCCTCTCACAGCAATCAGGAAAAGGGTTCAAAGAATTTGCTTTTGCACAGTAGGAAACTTCAGAAGGGACCCGGCAATCCCAGACCACTCCTGCCAGGTCCCATCCCAGCCACACAAGGACACACAGAGGGATTAACAGGACGGTCGCGGGGTGTCCCTCCCCAGGACAGCGAACTACGGAGATCAAAGACCAGGACAAGGAAGATGCAGCAGAGGCTACGGCCAAGAAATTCAGGAGCTTTGGTCTTGAGGTTTCAACATGACCCTGTTGCCACTCAGAGAAAGAGCAGCCACCAAACAGTCAGTGCTACGACCAGGAGAAAGGACATCATAAAGGGAATACGTGGAGAAGGAAAAATGCTAGAGTACAGCTGACACTTTTTGAGTGCTTTCTGCTCTTCAGGAATTGCAATAGAAACCTTTGGAAGAGTTTCTTCACTTGCTGGCCGGGGAAAGGCTGTCTCAGTAGGTATCTGCTGCTTTTTTAATTTGTCTTCATCCTGTACTAACAGAGGACGTTCCCGTTTCTGCTTTCATGGTAGAAGATCAAGAAAGACAGAGAGAGATGAACAAAAATGACAGATGGAAAGTGCCCAAAAGTGACACTTGGAGGTGTGCAAAGCATTAGGACAGCTCTTCTCAACGTAAAATAAACTGCCCTGGGGAGCAGAGCAGCCAGTGGCCTGGGCCACACGAGCCTTGGAGCTACAGAACCATGTCCTCCCTGCAGAGCTCATCAACATCTGGATCAGGGTCGTGGGTGGTTTGTGCCTGCCCTGCCAGGAAAGCAGGTGCTCAAAACCTCCTGGAGTGTTTTGGAATTGGAATGGTTGAGATAAAAGTTGGAGGCATTAGAAACAGGAATGGTGCAGTACAAAAGGTGGTCTCTGACAGCTTCCTAATCTACCCTTAAAACCAGCGTTTGGCAAATCCCATGGAACAGCCCAACTGCGGAGCAGATACAAAAGGCTTTTCCAAAGTTCTGACCAGAGTATCAAAACATTGATTGGTCTGAAAATTCTACTGGAACAAGTGTAAAATTGCTATTCTCAGAAATGCCACGTGTGGAACGGGCAGGATGGCAGTGGGAGCACTGCAAGCTCCTGGAATTTTGCTCTGTATTTTAGCACTTTTGTTTCTGGAGTCTGAGGAACGTTAAAAACCCAGAATGAGTAAATCAGCACACAAGACCATGCAAAGCCTCCAGCACTTCTGCTGAAGAAAGAAAGGATTGTGGGAATGTTGCTGTGCAGTAACTCTCCATCCCTTTAGTTTGACAGCCCTGGGCAAATCCAAGTGTACTTAGGAGAGGAAAAATTTGGCTCTAAGCTCCCTCAGCTGAGCCAACCTCCTCTGGTCAGTGCGGTATTTTGGGACTGGTTCTTTGCACACCCCTAAGTGGTGAGAATTGGGGAGAAAGTAGCTGGGAGACTGGGCAGCAAAAGAAAATATAAAATGCCAGAGTAACATGATTGTTAAAACAACAAAGAAACGGAAAGAAAGACAACATAAAAAGAACAGGGAACAGTTAAACTTTCAGAATTGCTTTTCTCGCCGAATACACGGTTATATCATTCATGCAGCTTTTCGAACCAGCCATGCACCAAAATAAGCAAAAACTGAAAGCTGCAAAAGCTGCAGCAAGAGCCAAAGACCTCTGGGTGTGAGTTATGAAACTACTTCATGTAGCCAAAAGAAAAAATGTTATCCAGCAGCTGCTGTTGAGTTTTTGCTCGGTGCCATGGCAATAGCAAGTCTGGTTCAGAAGCACAGATCAGAGCAGCAGCTTTACCTCAAGCCCACCAACCTGTCTCTCTGAAGATAGGACAGTGACTTTCTTGACCTGGACACACAAAGCGTGTTAAGGTTCAGTTGTCTCGTAATAAAACATTCAGGAACAGCAGAAAAGCAGCCCCTGGCACAAAACCCTTTGGCCACTAGGGCAGGGTGAAGGTACCACTTTGCACGGTGAATTATTATCCTTAAATTACCATTGTGATTTGTCATCCTTAAATTACCATCATGATTTGCCATCCTTCAACACGTGCAGGTGAAGGAAAACACCCTTCCTGGTCAGTGCCCGGTGAAGATGCATTTCTGCAAGTTCCCAGAATGTGTCTGCCTCCACCTCAGAGCAAGATCACTTTGGAGAGGGTCAGACTAAGTGGGACTTTCCAGAAATGCAAATCCAGGGACACTAAAGACCCACTGCGGCTTTAGATGGGACAAGCTCACACCATCCAAGACCTCACAATGTGGTCACCTTGTCAGAAATTCTCCATAATAACCAAGAATATAATTCTTGAACTGCAGCTGAGGAGCTTGAGAGCCCCTGGTCTGTCCCACCCACACCCCAAAAACCACGTGGCACCGTGGGCAGAGCTCTGCTGCCCAAACTCCTGTGGATTTAAACTGAGCAAAGTCTATCCATGTGTTAAACAGGGTAATCCCAAGGACAGTTTGCCCAGAGAAATTGTGGTTGCCCCATCCCTGGAAGTGTCCAAGGCCAGGTTGGATGGGGCTTGGAGCATCCTGGGCTAGTGGAAGGTGTCCCTGCCCATGGCAGGGGGTGGAATGAGGTGGGCTTTAAGGTCCCTTCCAACCCAAACCACTTTGTGATTCTACAGCAACCAACCCTGACTAAGTTCAATTTGGGGATCTCATTTTTCCTAAGCTGTCCTGGGTTTTCTCTAAACTTCGAGGAGCTTTTAGTCAACTTGGTGTTAAACCCCTTGTAGGTGTTACAATGCTCCATCCACTGCAAGACTATTTACTGACTAATAAGTGTTTCCCTTCCACTGGTTTGAAGATTAAATACAAGTTTATCTGCAGGGCTGTGGGCAGGAAGGAGAGAAGCTGGGCTTAAACCAGGAGAGAGTCTCCAACTGCCACCACTGCAGCCAGGATGCAATTTTTCTGTTGTAATAAAAAATTGCATTTACTAGTGAGTGAGAGAGTAATCAGAGACTGATTACCACGGGTGCTAACTACAGTTTTACTCACAAACTCCAAACCTGAGTTAGGCACCACCAATATGACATAGAGAAGGTGTCTCTTAGCCAAGAAGAAACCAGTTGGTGACAGATCTCTGCTGTTCCAACTGGGTTTCTTTGAAAAATTACCTTTTTTAAGGAAATAAGCAGAGAAACTGGGTGTATGTGGCTACTAACACACAGGCCCTGTTCCTGGAAGGAGGAAGGTTCCCATCACGTATGAACAGCCCTGCTGAGGAGTCTTCCTGAAGCCTCCACAGCAGATCAGCACCTGGAGTTCCTAATGCAAGTCTAAACCCCAAAAAGAAACTGGAGAATAAAGTGATTTTGGAAAAATTTTCCCATCCTAGTGCTTCTGCACTGGGTTGTAATATTATCACTGTTGTAATAATTCTCTTTAATTTAGGAGTTTAGGTGGGTTTTTCCCCCCATTTTGGGGAGATCCAGTCCCCAAGCCAGCCACGGGAAGTGCTCTCTAACATCACAGTGACAGCAACACTAGGAAAAGCAGCACCAAAAGCAAGTGAGGAATCTCTACATCCTTCCCTACCGAAACAAAAATCGCATTTTTATGACGCCTACGACTTCAACTCTCTCAGGGACCATCCCACATGTTAAAAGGCCACCCCCTGGAACACCACCATGCCCCGAGGTACTCACTCCATCCGCTCCTGTGGGGATCTGCCCGTTGACGTTGAGGGTCCGGAAAGGGGAGTGGGTGGACAGACGTTTGTCCCACTCACTCGGCCGCGGCTCCGGGACGGACTCCATGAAGTTCTTCTTCAGCTCGCTGATGTTGGCATGGTGCTTCTTGATTTCCTCCTGGGGCTTATCTAGATCCTACCAGCAAAAGGGACAGGGTGAGTGGAGGGGCGCGGGGAGGAGCCGGGGCTGCCTAGGCTGCGCTTAGCAAAGCTGCGCTCAGCGGGGCCGCGGCCGAGCTTCCCCATGGTGCTCACACTGCAAACACACAACGGGAGCGTCCTCTCTCCTCTCTCCTCTCTCCTCTTGGATTGATCGGGATAAACTGCGATCACGGAGCGGGGTCTCCTCCAGGAGAATCTCCACCAAACCAGTGACAGGTGACCTGGAATCTCATGGGTTTTCCCCCATATGGGATTTTTTAGAGTTGCCAGACTGTGTTTGTTTGGGTTATTTTTTAAATGGGGTAGGTTTGCTTTCTTTTCCCTCTGCAAGCCTGAACATTCCCAGGTATCAATACAATTAATGTTCAATAACATGTTTTCCCAATTTTTTTTTTTGCTCTCTTCATACCTATTTCTCTTTAATCCTACCAGGAATTATCTCTGCTCCCAGAATATCCCCATTACCATTGTTTCCCCTCCCTCTCATCTCATTCCTCCAGGAGCTACCATAGGAGGTTTTAGACTTCTGAAATGAAGATGAGATGATTTTTTTTTAATCAAACTGAGAATTTCCTTTATGCTGGATCAGTCAAAAAACTCCTGATGATTTTTTTTTCCATCTGGAAAAAACCAGATTTCTACTCTGTGATGCCAGTTTACAGCATAAACACACAGATTTGAAGGCAAGTCAACTTGTTAAAAATAGTTTTTTCTTTGCAAGCAAACCAGAGTTTGTAGAAAACAAAGCTTCTGCATAAAATAGGCGTAAGCCAAACAACAACTTTTCTGGACAGGGCCAAAAAGCAGCAAGAAAGGGTGAAATCAAGGTCAGTAAAAGCATCACTGGGAAATTTAACTATTTTTGTGCTTTCGGTTGTTACTCAGCCCACTAATTTGAGAAGATGGAAGAGCAAACACATCCCTAAAGGAGGGGCCCTCCCAAAAATCTGCATCCCTGCAGCTCACCCAGGACACAGCTAAACCCCAAATGCCTCTTTAACAACATTTACTCTTTTTGGCACAGTTCTGGCGGGGAAAAAGGCAAGTTTTGGCATCAATTCTGGATGAAAGTATAAGTCAAGTGCCTGTTGGGTAGGGAAAAAAAGCAGAAATAAGTCTGCTGAAGACTCCGGGGTAAATCCCTGCCTGGGTCCAGGAACCCTATGGCTGCTCCTGGCTTAGAGAAGAGAGAAGGACCACCTTGGCTTTTCCAGCACTGTGCAGGAGCAGGGCCTGGGAGGGCTGGAGAGGAGCTAAAGCCACGAGGAGCTACGTGGAGCCAGGTCTGGAAAGCACCTTGAGGAACCAGCTCACTCAGCGTCACCTCCTTTTCCTCCTGTTTTTCCCTTTCTGCAAGAACCTGGTGCAGGTGGAGAGTTAAAAGGCTTTCAACAAAATCAACAGGCAGCTTCAGGAGGGTGAGGTCTGCTGGGAAAATATCTGATCTGCCAAATGCATGGACCAGAAAACACAAAGGGAATGAAGGGGGTGAGCTGCTGGGTGAGCCCTGTTCTAGGGGAGGGCTGGAGCACCTGCAACAGAACCAGGGAGGGAAAGGGCTGGGTGGCAGAGGCAGGTGTTGCACTAACAGGAAAAAGGGGTTTGGAAGCGATGACAAAGCTCTGTTTGGGGTTGGGGAGATGGAGCTGTTTGAGTTGGGTGGAAGAAGGCGACAGGCAGAGTCTTCAGAGCTCCAGCAGTGGCCCGATGTGTTCACACCCTTCACTCGTGGCTCAAAGCTCTACGTTGTAGCAGGTTTAAAAAAAAAAAATTTAAAAATAAAAACAAACAAACAAAAAAAAAACACACCAAAAAAATCCACCCAAAAGCTGCAAAACTTTGAAAATTCTGATTAGGAGAAGGCAGTTGGTTCACTCCACTTTTTCAAGAGATGCCAACAGGGAAACCCTACGAGCTGCTGGGGCTGCAAGTCTGAGTAGAAACACGTAACACAGAGTATCAGAAGCCACAAAACATCTCCCATAACACAGTGTATTAAAGAATTAAAATATATGATTGGCGTGGTCTGTTCTGAGACCGTGCTTGGGTGAAAGCAAACGGAAAGGGCTCCCAAATTCAAAGGGAAGAGCTGTAACGTGGAGGGATGAGCCACCCGTGACCACTGAGCCCCCACATCAGATCCATGGAGACCTGGCACCGAGCAGGATGGGACCTGGGGGGTGGTGAGGTGCTGCAAGGCAAGGAAGGGCTGAAGGAGGATGGAAACATCCCTGCAGCATCCAAAAGGATCCCTCCTGTCTGAAGCAACATGGACATTGTGGTGGCCTGAAGGCCCAGGGGTGACAATTTCATTGAATCCCAGAATGGTTGGGGTTGGGAAGGACCTTAAAACTCATCCAGTTCCACCCCCTGCCATGGGCAGGGACACCTTCCACCATCCTAGGTTGCTCCAAGCCCTGTCCATCCTGGCCTTGGACACTTCCAGGGATGGGGCAGCCACAGCTTCTCTGGGCAACCTGTTCCAATTTCCCCTGCAGCTTATCCTGAATTTTGTATTTTCATAGACTGGCTTTTCCCCCAGGAAAGTAATTTGTTTCAAGCAATGAAAAACTAGTCCCCACTACAATCTATGCCCCTGTGAGCACCCAATTGGTCCCAGAGCAGATCTGAGCTCTGCCAATCATGTATTTTGAGTAGGTATGAGAGAATGAAAGTCAGAAGAGGTAGAAGGAAGAATGGCTGCACATCATCATGTTTACTGTCACCATGCAAAAGCATAATTAAAAAATCAAATCAAATCAAAAGGTCTTTCATGCAAGAGCATGCAAAATAAAGGCAGCAGCAGAAGAGGAAGAAGTTCAGCGCAGATGCAGAAGGTTTAGGCAAATGCAACTCAAAAAAAGCTTCAAGTTCATACAAACCTCCAACATTAAATTGCTATGCCTGATATAAATGTTTTCACCATCTAGCCTCTTTGATCTCTTCTGTGAAAATGAAAGGAAAGGGGGAAACAAAACAAAACAAACAAAAAAAAAAAAGCACAAAAAATTAAAACGTTGGTCTTGCGGGATCGAGAAATCGGCAAATTAAAAAAGTTAACTCAAGGTCGGGAGTGCAGCGCTGAGGCAGCGTGGGGTGGGAATTCCCACCAGGAATGGGGGTCTGGCTCATGGAGAATGGGAGATGTGATGAGTCCTTTAAAGAGACAGCTCCCGGGGGCCTCAGCTCTGGCCACAAAGAGACAGTTACTGGTTTTTCCATGGAAGCCTTGCACAGGTCACCACGTCACATTCCTGAGGGATGCAGGCCCACCCCAGTGTGAGGCTGTACTACCTGGAGTAACCTTTACAAGGTCCCAATAGGCACAGTAACTTTGCCTTAACCACCTTTCCCATCTTGGATGTGTCCCTGTTACTTAGTCAATACCAAAAAAAAAACATCCTCCTCATTTTTTTTTTTTTTGCATTTCCTGCAATGCAAACTGCACAGTTTTCTCTGGTTTCTAAGTAAATTTGTTACAGAGAAGATAAATTTCATAAGTTAAGCCAAGTGTGTTTCTTTTGAACATTCAACATGCATAATTTTAGCAATCAGGCTGTGTCTATGGGACAAAAAAACTACTAATTTTCCAATCAAGTATTTGGTAGTTAAAAGAAAACCAATATCCCAACCCAAAGCACAGGAAGAAATTGGAGCACTGTCTTTTTAAACATGTTACAGATGCATGAATGATATGGCAAATTTGGCTGGTGAAAGGGTAAAATGGCTAACCTTCCTCATTCTTATCAGCTCTTCCTCTTTTTCTGCAGGCTGCTGCTGTTGGGCAGTGATAAAAAAAAAAAAAAGAGTTGTTGGTTCATTTAACTATGTTGAACCTTAAAAAAAAAAAACAACTGTGAGCAACCTAAACTGAATTATTAGCACAAACCTGGGGCTGGGCACCATTCGTGGTGGGGACTGTGACCTCAATGTGTGTTTTCCTCACCTACATTTAAGAAATAAATCGGTAAAAACATTTCTTGTTAGTAGATTTGTTTCAAGAAACCATTCAGTTTCCAAACACGGCTGCATAAAGTTGGTTTTGAGGTGCTGAGGGAACATGCAAAAACCAACATGCAGCCCTGGGTTAATGACACGGCAGCTCCCGGCGCTCTGTTAGTCAACAGCAGGTGAAATAATTCCTTCAGCTTGAGAATTATTTGTATTTGAAACCAGAGCTCTCCAGTGCTTCTGAAGAAGGGCTTCCCACTTGCATTAGCTCGGCCAGGCAATGTTTTCAAATGTCATTTGCAGCTGGATCTCCCAGTGAAATCCCAACAAAGCAACATGCTGCAATTAACACAGGCCTTCTCAAAAACAGAAATTATTGGTTATATGCACAGGTATTATGTTGGCAGAGGCAGTAAGAGCAGGTTTAGCTACAAAACCAAGCCTAACATCACTAATTAAGTTCTTTCCTGTCCGTAAGTAGAGAGCCAAGATTGTCTTAACACTCTCAAGGAAGTATTTCAGGGAAACTGGGTTGCCAAGTACTCTGAAGGCAAAAGCATCAGTGGGTGTTAAAAGAAGTGATGCAGCTACATTGGAGAAACAGGGTAAATTTGGCACGTTCAAATCCACAATTTCCTCCCACATCTATATTTAAAGGGGGAAAAAAAAAAATCCAGTGTTTAAGCATTTAAGAAAAAACCTGTAATAAGTGAGATGGGATGAGTAAAATTTCCTCATTCTCAGTGTAACACGAGGGAGGAGGAGCAGCCAGGCAGGAACTCTGTGCTCCAATTCCAACCCCACAGTGCCAGCCTGAGGATCCCTTCAGCACTTTCATTTAAAAATTACAGCTCACACAGGCCATGGAATTTTTTTGAAGCAACTGTCCTTTTCTTTACCTCCATCTCCCAACCTTAATTAATAGGGATTTCCCCTGGAGATGTCACACAACACCCACTGTGTGACATGTTATAGGAAATGTGGCTCCAGCAATGCTGAGATCAGCTAAATTTTGGAGTAATGTGAAAATTGTGCCACAAGGCAAACATCTCTGCTGCACCACTGCAAGGCTTCAGTCAATGAGATCTGCAGAATATTAAGGACACTGTAATATCAACATTAATTTTGCACATTATTCTGACTTATTAGAACAACACACACATATCAACCCCAGCAAAGGCCTCAGACATTTGTAGAAAGATCAAATAATGGTTTTAAAAAATGGCATTTAAACAATAAACCCCCCCAGGTCTCACCAGTGCCATTGTCAACTAAAGTTTTAGTCCAGTTTGCAGCACTGTGTTACCAGCTCTCCCAGCCAAAGCCTATCAATGTGAAAAACATTCCGGCGCTGGGCTGCAGCCAGATCCATATCACTGATTTCACTGGAATTGCCTCCTGCTGTCGTACCAGGAATCAAGGGGCACAGCCTGGCCATGGGTGAGCCCTAAACTCCAACCCCACGAGCACGTGCAGCTCCTGGCAGCGTTTTTAACCATCTTAAGGTTGCCCTTAGTTTGACTGCAGCCACCAAAACTTGGAGTGACTCCTCTTCCACAAGGAATGTCAGGGCTGGGATTTCTCTGGCAGGCAGACCCCTGTGCCTGCTCCCACCTGATGCCTGGGAGAGGGATAAACCCCTCATCTCCCAGGAGGGGAAGGTGGACAGAGCTGCTGCTTTGGGGTGGCTTCTAGAGTGACCCTCCGGCTCTTCCAAAGAGACTCCGGTCTGACCTACCTTGGATGCATCAGCTGGCTCTGCCTTGGCTTTCTCTGGTGGGAATTCCTCACGTCTCACATCAGCTTTTGCTGTTTCCTTCCCTATTTTAGATGTGGCCATGTCCTTCACGTCAGGCTTAGCTGGGGCTGGCTCTGCAGGGTGGCTCTGAGCGATGGCCGGGGCCGAGGTGGGCCGGGGACTCCGCTCCGGGGTTATCACGGCCACTGCTGAGGAGGGGGGACACACAGGGACAAGGTTCAGAGCAGGTAATGTTCCAAAGCTCTAGGCAAAGTCTTTCCAAATTACAGTGCTGTCATTTAAAAAGAAAGGGAGGAGGAGGAGGTAAAAAAAGAGAAACGAAATAAAGATGTTGAGCGAAGCAGCTTGTGCGTTTAGTACGGGAGAGTTGGGATTATTTTCCTTATGGTTTAAATAAAATCAAATAAAGCCCCACACCAGATGGTTTACAAAAAGCAAGCTTGCACTCTGCAGAGAAGCCACACCAGAAAGGCAAATCTGGAATTTGACATCGTGCCACGGATTTCTGGGTCCTTCACACACAACTGACACGGACTCCACTCCAGTGCAACCACAAAACAGACACAGCGTGGGGAGTTCTGGGCTTGTGGGCACCTCCTCAACCAGAAACAGATGGTTTCTGGAAGGGAAACACAGGCTTTCCCCCCCTCCCCAATCTTTTAGGCAACTCAAATGAAAAAATAATCAACAAGCATCGCTCTAGAAAACTTCACAGCAACTTCCAGGTGGGATTCAAAGCAGGCTGGGCTGTGTGTCCCATGGGGTATCTCCGAGGCAGCATGGTGGGAAGATACCCAGCACCTCCAGGTCAGTGACAGTGCAGGAATGAACAGCATGTTGCCAAAAAATCACCTTTCCAGAGGATGACAGTCTTAAACACAAGCGCTAGCCCCACACAAAATCAACTGCCTATTCCTTTCCTTCAATTCCTGATTTCCCAGGCAGTTCCTGATCCCTGAAAGGTCCAACTCCAATGAAATATTCAAGTCAATACTGTGTGACAAAGCCAGCCCCAATTAATTCCCTGGGTGTACCTATAGATACAATAAGCTATTTGGTTCTCCTGATGCTGGGGTTTATGGATGTTCCACTACAAATACACCCAAAATAGTATCTTTGACGTGGTCCCACATTCCCAAAGTCACAGTTTGCAGCAGGATCACACTGCACAACCCGTCCCATCCAACACTGGTGTCCAGTCAAAGACACTAGAAAATTTGTTGTTAAAAAAGAAATTGTGATTTCAAGCAACTCCTTAGTAAGAATTCCTGTTTCACTGAAAAGGTCACTGCATCTCATCTGTGTGTAAATAAAACAAGAGAGAATAAAGCATCCACGTGACCAAAAACATACGAGATGGGGGGGGGGCAAAAAAACCCCTGATTTTCCAGAGACTGGAATTACACCTTCAAGACAAACACCTGGACCCACCCCAAACCCCACACCACCACCATGGGCTCCGTCCTCTCCCTGCTCCTCAGCACAGCAGCTCATTTCTGTGACCCAGACACTGTGTTATCCTTTCAGGAGGACAATCAGTGCCATGTCCCGGTGTATTTATGCCATGGAAGCGGTGACAGCCGCTGGGAAGGTTGTACAGAGGTGGGATGGCAGGGACAGTCGGGATGAGGAGGATGCTGGGAGAGCAAAGCCGTCATCGTGGTGGTACCTGGCTCCTTCGGGAGTTCTCTCACCACCATCATTTTTTCTTCCTCCTCCTCCTCCTCCTCCTCCTCCTCTTCAATTGGGCTTATCTCAATACTGCCAAGATCACGTTTGGCTAAAAAAGTTATGGATGTGTTAAAATGCCACCTCAAAGATGAAGCAGCAAAGGAAATACTGCCACCAGTAAATCTGCACAGCCACCTCTCCTGCTCCTCTCCCAGGGCAGCAAGACATGCAGGAAAAATGATAACAGACACCAAGCTTTTCCTTTATCATCCAACAGCGAGTTCTGGGCTGCCCAGAACTGTATTTCAGTTAATTTTCCTGATTAACTACTTTGGGGTATTTGGACATATGATTTAAACACAGTAAAAAGCACTGCTCCAAAATAAATGATATAAAATGAAGGTTGGAACTGGATGATCTTTAAGGTCCCTTCCAACACAAACCATTCCATGATTCTATGATTGACCACCATCACCCCACTGACAGTCCCTGCTGGGAACAGGAGAGTCAGGAGGAGGAAAAGTGCAGGAGATGGATAAGAAGGGGCAGCTGCATCAGGAGAGCCCAGGCTGTGCTCAGGTCTGACACTGGCTGATGTCCACTCTGCTGCCGCCCATCCCCTGGAATATCCTCCAGTGTTTTCCATACTAACCAAGAAAACATGAAGTTCTCAGTTACCTCCCTCCACGGCTTCAGTCTCCTCTTTCTGCAACAACTAATCAACCTTATTTTAATTATGATTAGCGTGGATCTGACTGCAGCAGCAACGTTGCTCTGACACCCTTCTCCAACTAGGGAAGCAGCACTCCCTAGTGAAGAAATAAAGTGGAATGTAGGTGACCTCCAGCAGTCCTGGATCTCATAACCTGATTTTCAGGCACTGCACGTTCCTAGAGCTCAGGGGAGCAAACCTTCCAGGAAGGAACAGCAAGGGAGGAGCGTTAAGAGGCCACTGCACACTCACTTCCACACACAGCCAAGCCACGGCACCCGCTCACCTCACCCAGAGCACTCCTGGAAAGCAGCACACGGCAAAGCCAGGGGGGATTTTAGTGGCAACAAACACCACCACAAGCAGTGCAACCTGTGTCCTACAGCACTGCATCACTTCACCCCCACAGTGACAGCACAGCAGCCACCAAACGCCGCTGTGGCTGTACCTGACCGCGGCGGCACCGGCTCCGGGAACTTTGGCTTGGCAACAGGAACCTTAACCACCTCTACCTTCTCCTCCTCCTCTTCCTCCTCTGCAATGGGTTTCATTTCAAAAGTTTCAAGAGTGTGTTTGGCTAGAAAGAGGTTTGCAGGTGTTAATGGGGGTTGGGGACCCGCATGGACACACGACGGCCACCACAGCAAAGAGCGAGGAGATCCCTCTCAGCAGCTGGGAACAGCAAGGAGCTTTGCAAACCAGGCAGCTCAACAGTCATTTTCCACCATGGAATTGTGCACCAGCCTTTCTAGTGCTGCCATCATACCCAACAATGCATTGGATAAGAGGGGAAAAGAACAACAGAAATAAGCTTTGCAGGCTCCTTGCCCAGGCAGGGAGACGTGGGGACACGTCTGGAACTAGGATGGGCTCTGCCTGCAGAGTCTGGAGGGACAGGGGTGCTGGCTGGCAGAATCCAGGCAAAACACATCCAGATAAAAACCTGTATAAAAACTAGCAGCTTTAATTAAATGTACTTGAATGATTCACTTGCAGTCTACCCTGGTGCCTGAAATTCCTCACCCTGTTTTTACAGCATCGGGCTTTCCCCACCAGGCAATGCTGACTAGGGAAGATCAAGGCATGACCACGGTGGGGGGAAGTCTGACATACTTCATGAAAGCTGGACCTAGATACTGCAAAAATAGTGATGCAGTCAAAAGTACGCTGTAAAAAATTCCAGGTGGAAGGAGGGAAGCAGAGCAGTACCCACAGCATTTGCATATGAATTATTTCCAGCCCTAACACACCACAGGCGGTCGCCATCCAAGTGATGAAGGCTGCAAATATTTGACAACACTGTGCTGTGAAACACTTATTAGTATTCAAATGTGCTGTTGTACCTACACCCCTCTTAAGGACATTAATATTTATTAATAGTACCTCTCTTAAGAGAAATATAAGCTCCACAAGACTAAGAGGGGTGACATTTCTCAAATGTTGAAAAAAGATCCCAGAATAGACTTTAAAAAAAAAAAAAAGGTTCCAGAACTCTTAAAAAATGGCAAGAAGGTCCCAGGATGAAGAATTTCAGAAGCTTCACAAGAAGTTTCAAGATCAAACTTTAAAGTTTGCTAATTCACATACACAAAACTACCCAAATCTAATGAGAGTTCTCAAGTACCATCACATCCTAAACTTTTCCCCATCCCCCCACAAGAATTACAAGGTGCAAGGTGGAAATTTAAGGAGTTTCCCAGAGCTGGGCTGTGTCTCCTCTCACTGCAGAATTCTTCTTGCAAAGAAATGAAAAAAGAAAGTCGCCAGATTTGGTGAAACTTGGAATTGTCAGGAACAAGCACGTAGAGGACAGGAAAGGCACTGCAGAGAGTTGTAGCCACCACCACAGCTATACCTGGCTTCTCTCGGATCTGATCCGCAGGTTTTGGTTCAGGAACCTCAACCACCACCACCTCCTTCTGCTTCTCTTCCTCTACGGTCCTGAACTCAACTTTCTGAGTCGCACGTTTAGCTGAGGAAACGGGGCACACGTTAAGGACCCGCACGGCACAGGCAACACTGCAACCGCCACAGGGGCCGCACAGCCCCGGCCTGCTCCTCTCCACGCTCTCACAGCCACGTGTGGGACTGCAGCTGGGATTTCTCTACCCGTCTGGGGTCATTATGGCAGGGCCAAGTGGCAACCAACAGCCCTGGTCCCCTCGCCCCCGTGCACCATGCCTGCTGGCAAGCTGGAATTCGGCTTTGCTGCTGAATGGGGCTCGGACCAAGCAGCCTTTCCCCTCTGGATTCGAGGTACAAAGCCCAGGTTTGGAGTGTCACTGAGCCCAGGAGCAGGGACAGCCTGGTTGCTGCTGGTCACGGGGTGCTGGGACAACCCTGGTGCCTCTTGGGCTGCAGCACAACCTCGGGGCTCAAAGCAATGCAGTCCCTGCTCCATCAGGGATGCTCCCCTTTCCCTGGATCCTCTCAGAGCACAGGGATGCTCCCCTTTCCCTGGATCTTCATGGTGCACAGGGATGCTCCCTCTCCCTGGATGCTCATAGTTCACAGGGATGTTCCACTTTCCCTAGACCCTCTCAGTGCACAGAGATGCTCCCCCTTCTCTAAATCCTCTCAGTGCACAGGGATGCTCCTCTTTCCCTGGATCCTCATGGTGCAAAGAGATGCTCCCCTCTCCCTATTACTCATGGTGCAAAGGGATGCTCCCCTTTCTCGGAATCTTAGTATCCAGTGATCCAGATCAAGTGGAGTAAACATAAGCACTCTCCTCTCCATGTCTCACCTCCTCTAGCCTGGAGTTATCCATCTCCTTTAAAAATGTGGGATAAGCCCACCTGACTGACATCCCAATCTAAGCATTGCTTTAAGGAACACTGACAAAGTTTCAGTTGTGGCAAAAAATCCCCCCCTCAAGGAGAACTAAGGAATTTAAGAAGTTATGTTAAACAAAACAAATAGCTTAATTCCTGATTTTCTAAAGGAAAACGCTTTGAGACTGAATGAGGAAATATCTCTACAACCAGAACTTTGCCATGAGCCTTCAGCACCCACCTACACCCTTTTTGTCAGTGAGTTCTGCTGGGACTACTCTCAGTTTGCATTTTTGTTTTGGGCCTGGCTGAGTTGGAGCTCATTTTCCCCCAGCAGCCCTCACAGTGCTGTGATTTTCAGACAAGGATACTACCTGGGAGAGGTAACAGGCAAATAAGTACTGAACAGCGTCGGAGAGCGGAACGATCACAGGGGAAATTTCTGTCATAATTATGGTGAAGGGACGAAGGGCAGATTTTGTGTAAATCATCTGTGCTGTGATGACGTTATTTTGACCTCTGCAGGGGGAATTTTTGTGTTGGTTGGGGTTTTTTTTTGATGTGAGCAAAGGTCGTGTGGCGAGCGCGGGTTCGAGCGATAATCCTCGAACGCGCGAGGGGCGGAACCGGGAGCCGGAGCGAGGAGCTACGCTCGGGGTTTTTGTACAGCAGGGAGTTGAGCTGTTATTTCAGCATCCTGGGATGCTGATGGAGGTGCACTCACCTCCATCCAGGCTCCTGGAGGCTCGTTTGCTGGCCGTGCGCTCGAACTGGGGCGCGGGCCGGTCGATCAGGGCGCTCGCCTGCCGCGTCTGCGCCTGCGTCCGCCCGCTGTAGCGGAACTTGGAGCCCAGCGCCAGGAACCTGCTCTTCGGGATGGCCTCGGTGGAAGTCAGCCTGAAAAAAACACATCCATGATTTAAAAACCACACCTCCAGGTCAGGCGAGCGGCAAACCCGGCGAATCTCGGCGCGGTTGAGGAGAGTAAGGAATAAATCTGAAAATCTGCGTCATCGACTTCAAACAACTTGGTGATATTTGGTTGATTTTCCCCCCCTGCATGAAAGGAAATGAAGGATTCTCATTCTTTTTGGACCATCATCCTGGAAAAAATATGTGTGGCTTCTGTGGGCTGTGCTGCACTGGAGTTTCCCAACAAATTGGGAAATCCCAACTTGGCGTTTCCCAACAAATCTCCTCAATTTCTAACGCCAAATGCTTTAAAATGAGTGCTCCTTCATGGCTGTGGCATTTCCATCAGGAAAGCTCTCCAGATCCAGAGAGCTCAGTGTGCTTCAGAGTAGAAACACCTTCTGAAGAATCCAAGAGATCACTTTGAGTTGGACTGAGCTCAAATCCCACTAAACCTGAGTTGTTCTGGTTTAAGTGCCACTCACCAGACTTTATTTTTTACAGAGTTTCATTTTCTATGGATGTATTGGGAAGGGAGAGTGTAGGGGGGGAGGTAAAGAGGAATTAAAATAGAAATTAAAGAAGTCTCTTGCCAATAATTCTCGCATCTACATCGGCCAAAGTTCTCTGTCTTATCTATCTTATGAAGCAGAACCTGCTTAAAAATTTACTGCAAAACAAACACTTAGTGTCCCTGCAACCATTTCACTCCAACTGTTCCAAACCCTAAGGAACACTGAAGGAATTAAGGAACACTGCTCACTTTCAGCAGTCACACTACAGCATTAGTTACTCAAAGTTCAGAAAACCCACCTGAAGAAGGTGTGATGTTCAACACATACTTTCCACAGCTTCTTCGCTGCCCGGTAACTTGGAAGCTTGAACCCAATTGTACTTTCATACTGTTCTTGCTGTGGAAAATATAAGTTATTTAGGTATGGCAAAGAATACATGGAGCTCAGTCCCCAGCCCATTGCTCTGTCCTGCTGTGGCACAAACTGCTGAACTCACTCCAGGATGTGCAGGAGGAGCTCAGGTCAGAGGAAAGGCAGGGCTTGGCCACAAGCCTGGGCATCTCTCAGGGTGCACTGGGATTTACAGAGGAACATGCTGTGGATTTTGCAGCCAGTCAGCCTCATTTACACCCCCATCATACTGCCCAGCTGCGGGATGGGGTCAAACATTGACCTCCCTGCCAGGCTGGGTCAAGGCAGTGGAAGCAAGAGGAGGAGGAAGAGAAGGGAAGAGGCAGATCCCCGTTGTAGCCTCTCTCCCTGATGTGGCCAGGCTGCTCCAGGGATCTCCCCATTCATGAAGCAGCACCAGCGCATCCCTGTCTCCTGTCCTTAGGTGAAAAGCTAATTCGAATTTTTAATTACTTTCTTTTAATAAAAGCCAGACAAAGAGCCTTTGTTTTGCCTTGTGTCCAAAAAAAAAAAAGGACTTAGTCCTCTCCCAGTTTCAGCTGACAACTTCCCACCCATTTCCCTGGATGCTGGGAATACCCCGCAGCACCGGGAGGTGGTGCTGGATGACACACTGTTAAACCCTCACCAGCTGGGCTGGAGCTCCGGCTCAACCCCAAGCCGGGATCAGACACCCTGATACAAAATGCTCATCCAGGGGAAAAAAGGCCGTTCCCTCCCGGCTCCGTTTCAGTGACACACACACACACACACACACACACACAAACGGTGACAATCACGAGGCAGTGAAAGGTGACACACAGGAGCCAGGACACACCTCCCCCGGCCGAATCTTTATGAAGAAGCTGCTGCGTTTGTAGGAAATCTTCAGGACTTTGGGCCACGGGAAGCGGTTGATTCTCAGTTTATCTTTGTAAACAAGAAGGCCACTGGAACAGACTCCCAGAGTGATGTCCACTCCTTCCAAGTCCTGGGAAAGCAGGATTAAAGCAGCGTCAGGGTTACGAGTTTCAGGCCAACATCTGCCTTCCAAATCAGCCCTTTGGTTTTTGCCCAAATTCATCTGCCCACCCCCCAGACTCCAGCTCCAGGGCCAGGCTGGCTTTTCCTTCACGTTTCTCTTCACAACCTCCTCTTTCCTGCTGATCTTTCCTGCACTGTTGGTTGCCCAAAGGGCTTATCTAGAGTCCTTCCTACATCTCCCCACGTGGCAGGTCAGAGCCATAAATTCAAAGTTCCTCAGAGCAAGGACTCATCTACATCAGGAGCTTTGGAAAGCTTCCTGGGATATATAAATAATAAGCAACCAGGAAGAATCACTTCTCCTGCAGGAATGCTTGAGTCATTCCTGTTCTGTGTCTGTATTTCCATACTTCCTCTATCTTTCAAAAGGAGCTTCCTGAAACAGGTAAACTTGTTCCTGCAAGGGAAGAATAATCAAATGACAAAACCCACAGACAGGTGCTGGTTCTCAGTTCTCACCTTGGCTTGGTGAAGGTCGACTCCATACATAGACAGCTTTTTTGCATTCTCAAGAAATTCCAGGTCTGCTTGGGCTGGAGTCATGGATCTGGGGAAAGAGAGAAAGGGCTTGGTATTCTTCAAACCATTGCTTTAAGAGAGGACAAATCAGACTTCATGAAACTCATTAGACTTTGTTTTGCTTTCAATACAACCAGATTTGTGCTCAGGTGATGAATTATTAAATCGCTCCGAATGCCCACATTTGTGCTTTGAGACATCCCCATAACACAGATGCACTTTACTCCTGTGGAGCTGCACAGGCACTAGAGAAGAAAGCAAGGAACAGCAGCGAGGGGGCAAAACTTGATTCAGCAGAAGAAACCCCAACTGAGCCACAGGCAAAGGGTGACAGGTCCTGTCCCCCCAGACCTGCTGCCTCCAGACCTCCCCAAACCCAGCTATTGTTCTCCAAGCCAAACACAGGGACAGCTGAGACCACTCAGCAGCAATTCCAACCGGGGGACCAGATGAATGAAGGGTTTTCTGGGAACAGATGGTGCCCTGTCTGCAGGAGGGGCACAACTTAACAGAGACATCCTGATAATGGAGGCCATTATCAACGGTACTGAAGTGCCCTTGTTAATAAGTTTCTGGTGTGTGAGGTACATTAACAGCTCTGTTGGGAGAGAATTCAGCCGCATACATTTCATTTTCTTCCCCTCCTTTGATGTCTTCCTCACTGAGCCCTCCCATACATCTTGTGTGTGATGTAAATAGAGTTGTTGGTGGTGGGAGACAGGGCAGACAAAGAACTGTAAGGACAATCCTGTAGGAAAGACACAGGAGCTGTCCCTATGTCCATGTGCCTTGTGCTTTGCAAATAGAGTAGCAAGAGCTGGGGAGTGACTTAGCAGAGATTTCCCTGGAAGTGCTCAAAAAACAGTGGGTGTGGCACCTGGGGACATTGTTTAGTTGTGGGCTTGGCTGTGCTGGGGGAATGGTTGGACTCAGTGGTCTTCGAGGTCTTTTCCAGCCTTAATGATTCCATGACTCTGATTCCCACTGAAAACCCTCTGACAGTTTAATGTTCACAGAATACAGACCAGAAATTAAACTGGGACGTTTTGCTTCCTCCTGCACACGCAGGCAGATGAAATATAACTACATCTTATACCTTGAAGTCTCCTTCTAATGAAGCTATGAATAATTCATCACCCTGATCCGCCACTTCGGCACAGCAACGGCCTTTGACTCCGAGTCATGAAGCTTGTCAGTGGCCTGGTACTTATTTTCCCTCATTTCCTCTCCTCTCAGTGCAAATGGAGGGGAATCAATTTAAAGTATTGATTCAGAGGGTTGAGTGAGGTGTTAATTGTAGCTCTGGCCACAGCCAGGAGCCCATGCCCACCCTTCCCACTGCACTCCAGTTATTAGTTCCCCTCTGCCTCTGAGAAGGTCTTGTCTTTGCTCTGTTCTCATCAGGGCATCAACCAGCAGCTTTTCACAGGGCAAGGGGCTGCTGGATGAAAGTACCACCAAGTGGTGCTATGGATTTGGGGGGTTTTCCTCTCTAAAATCCCAGTGTATCCCTGTGAGGGCACAGAAGCTGCTGCCCCTCCCCACAGCTCCTGCAGCCCAACCCTCGAGAGCATCCAGGAAAATGAGCTCAAAATAAGATGAAGAACAGGTTTGGTTACTGTCACCCTTCAGTGTGGTACCAGGGGGACTCCCAGGAGTTGTTCAACCCTCCCTGAACACGACACGCCTGCCCAGGTCATGGTTGCACTAGGGAACACTTAACTGCAGGTTTGTAACTCTTGGGTCACCAGGAATCCTTCCACATTAGGATGTGAAATGTGGCAGTAGAAAACCCTAAACATGCTGTAGTGTACTGTGTATACACAGAGAGACAGGAGCCGACTACAATCCAAAATTACATGAATCCTAAACGAAGGCCAAGGTTAAAACAAGTAAATTTTGTATTTTCACATGAACTAAACCCCTATTTTCTGGCTATTCTGTTGAAAAAAACACTTGTTTATAAACAATTTCAAGACTCTGTATTTGCTTTCTTCCATGCATGAAAAAAAGAATTCCAGCTTCTAGAAAGATTTTTTTCAAAAGTATTAGAAATTTTTTTAAAAGCTGATGTTCATAGAATCATCACAGAGTCACAGAATGGTTTGGATATGAAGAGAACTCCAAGATCAACCAGTTCCAATCCCCTGCCATGGGCAGGGACACCTTCCACTAGCCCAGGTTGATCCAATCTGGCCTTGGACACTTCCAGGGATGGAGCAGCCACAGGTTCTCTGCAGCTCAGTACCTGCAACGTTCTCAGGAGCTGCCAGTTCACATCTTACTGCCAAAGCTTCTGTTGCCAACATAAAATTGGTGCAGCAGGAAACCAAAAACACACCACAGAGGTGGGGGAAACATCAGAAAGCCCCATTATTGCCCTTATTTCAGGCTGCTGTGCACAAACAAACCCCTGCAGCCACCACACCTTTACCTGTATGTTTTATGAAGCTCCACAACCTTCTCTTCGAGCTCTTTTGTCTGGTTTGGGGCCAGTTTGAACTCAGTGATGTAATCTGGGCCGTGGAGCTCGGGATCATAGTCCCCCAGCTCCGACTGCACCGTGTAGGAGCCCAGCAGGGCCAGGGTTGCAAAGGAGCAGGGCAGCCGCCCCGTGAGGATGTCCTGTCTGAGCTGAAGACACAGGTAATACCTGGGGGCAAAAAGGAAAACATTAATCACAGAGAAATTTATTAACTTGAGGATCGGTCTCTTTTTTTTTTATGCCCCTGATGAACGAGTACGGCGCTCATTCCCAACTTCTACCTGTGTTTTTACTCATTCCCAAGGTAAACAGTGGGAAGGTCTGGGGGATTTAAGGTCACCTCCACTCTGCAAAGGGACCAGAAAATCTTGGGTTTAGATAAAAACGTACTTTCCTCTACAGACACACCCATGCCAGGGTTGTACATGACATTGCTTTACCCAAGTGGACTCCAGTGGAGAGCGGGAGCATCCACATATCCCCTGAGAACAAACCAAAACCCCTCCAAACGGGGAAGACATTTGATCTCCTCACTGAAGGAGTCAAATATTAAACATTTCTATTCCATATTCACTGCCCTGCTCAGCGAGCTCCTGGCTGGCAGCAGATTCCCAGGGAACTCACCTGGTTATATCCTCTGTCAGCTGGGCAGGATCTGGAGGATAAAACTTGACGTTGAAGGTAAAATCCCAGGGGCCTCCTGCAATGACAAAGGAGAGGTTGAGAAAAGTCAACACACCAGAAGAGCTTTGTGACAGTCAGTTGTTATTAAAAAAGCTGGGAATATCCAACCTGATCTTCAACATTCACCCAGCAGATGTAACACTGATTTTATACTGCTCACTCTCACAGCTGGATGCAGCTGAACATCTGTATAAGGTACGGGTTTATTTATAGGAGGTAGGATACAAGCAGGAGAAAAAGAAGTAGGACAGGGAAATACACATAAATAAACCACTACTCGTGGCAAAAATTAAATTCATTGCTAAGAAGCTGAAAGACTCCCATGTTCTTTCATTGGTTGAAAAGGGATTCATGAAGAGAGGGCAGGGGTGGGCTGTAAGTTAATGAATTAGGATTGGTTTATCACTCAAGCCAATTTTCAAATTTCAGGAGGGGATGTGCTAAGTCACTTCTCAGCCTAATGCACTGGGGTCAGGTGGTCAGACACAGGTTAAACTCAGCCCAACACAAGCATCAATCTTTGGATGAAGCCAGCAAGCACCAGGGTAGGAAGAGCTTTACAAGTCCAGACCTAAATGTTTAATACTTAATGTCTAAAATAACACTTAATGGTTAAAATAATGTTTGTTGCAAACCTGGTGCAGCACCACTACAGGCATTAAGTGGAGTGAGAATCCACATAATCACACTAGAACTGGCATTATAAGTGGTCTGGCCAGCCTAGGTGCCACAGCTGAAGGGGTTACTCTCTCTTTTCCTTGAAAATAATCACATTTCCCAGCAGAAAATAGTCCTGACCGGGTGATTTTCATAGTTACATCTCCCCCCTGCTGTGGCCCTTTAACACCAGCTCAAAATAAGATTTCTTTCAGAAAGAGAAGATCTGCCCCTGCGCTTCACCCAGAGGTTTATCCCCATCTCACACAGGGAAGAGGGGGGACGGAGCATCCCTGGATTTACTTCTTATGCAACGCCATAACTGGGATTAAACACAAGGCATGTTGTTTTCATCACACACAGTTCAAACCAAGTGATTCCAAGAGGTCATTTTAGGGAGCAGAGGTTATCTAAAGCAACACACATCAGGGTACACATATTCATACCCACATTCAACCTATTTTAAAGCAAAATCTAATAATCTGCCATTTAACCCATCTCAGGGGATCAGACTCCATAAGAGGTTGCTGCTCATCACATTTACTAGATGAATTTTACGGGTGGAGCAGCTCCTGCCCTTCAAACACATCCTGCTATTGATTCCAAGAGAAGCTGGTAAGACCAGGAGCTTCCCCTGCTCCACAGCCCTGTGGTATTTCCCCTCTAACCTGGACTTAGTGACACACTTTGTCCTGTGCCTCCCACCAAAAGCATCCGTAAAACAGTGTTTTACTCTCATAAAACAGCATTATACTTCCCAAACCCAGTATTTTACTTCCAAAGCAGTCAGACTTGCCCCCAGGAGAAAACAAAAGCCTCTGAAATGTTTATTTAATTTTAACACTGCCCTCATCTTGAAGTAATTCAGAGGTAGCAGACCTTAAAATGCCACTCTGGAGAGCATCTGGTGATACTACTCGAGCCATTTATCATTCCAGTACCCCGATTTGGACCCCAAAACTGCCTCAGAGTCCATCAAACCCTGCTCCAGCACACAATTCTGCTCAGGCTCTCCCAGTCTCCTTTGGGAGTTCAGTGGTTCCCACTGACACCCATTTTCCCATCCTCCAACAAGGAACCATCTCCCATTCCAGCCCTGCAGAGCCAGTATTGCTTTGCTTCAGGCAAACACACCCCAAGCCATGTTTTGCCAAGGAAATGACATTTTTCCCTAAATCCAGAGCATCCCTAAGTCCTTAAGAAGGAGAGAAAGGATGCAGAGGCTGCTTGAACTTGTGCTGATCCCTGCCAGCCACCCTCACTTGACCTCTCTCCATGCCTGGGCCCCCTCCAAGGCCATGTTATTTAGGGAAGAGGGGAGAAATCCCCCCCCCCTCAGATGATAAATTCAATCTACTTACCATGAACCTGCTTTTTTATTTCTTTGGCAGGATCCAGCCACGTCTGTAAGAGGATAAAAACATTCACAGTTTAACAGACATTCCAGAAACGCCACAGAAAGCTGCAAATTGCTAAAAATATGGCGAAAAAAGACAATATTTGACACTCAGGCAGCCATGGAAACTGCAGAGGCAGTACATTTTTCACTACTTTTACTCCAGGCTGTGGTCTTGGGGGTGTATTTCCAATCATTCATCTACCAGGTACTCGTAGGGGAGGCAGGAGGAACAGGAGGGGGGAAAAAAAGGCAGGATATCAGGGCTGCAGGTACAGCCAGGTCACAGCCACAATTCAGCTACGAGGGGCACTTCTACAACACCTTTTTTTTCCCTTCAGAACCTTTAAATATAGGCAAATAGGATGTTTACATTCATTATAAGCACCCTGTCTCCTCACTTAGCCTACTCAGATCAAAGATCACCAAGACATTCTATTATTAGCTCTGGGTTTTAACGACCTAATCACTGAAATATGAGTGAAAACACCCAATTACCACAGAAGGCTGGAATCTTTCACAGGAGTGTGACATAAACTTCATTTCTTTTAACTATGACTCAAGTTTCTACTAATTATCTCCGCTACAAATTTAGAAATGTATCCTTTTTTCCTCTCCCCTCTGCAATTTGGGGTTTTGTGGGATGATGGTGCAATATAAGCCACAAAAAACAACTCCTGCTTTTTCCATGGTCTGAGCCTTTCCCTTTGGAGAGGTCAGGGTCTGCCCCACTGCGGGGGATGGCACAGGGTTAATGACCCTCCTGGAGAGGCTACATTTAACCACCTTCTTCATTTTCACCAGCCCTGAGAAGGATTTAGACGTCCAGGTCTCCCGAGGTGAAGGAATTAACTCCTTGAATCCCCCGAGCTAATCTCTCCCCACCAGAAGGACACGTAACTTCATGGCAGGGAGACAGCCATATTTACATTTAATCTCCTCTTTTTATGTGCCTGTCCCTCTAACCTATAAAAGTGGGGGTAAAAAAATCCATTTGGGGAAGGCAGATGGGCCACTTGCTGCCCTTTTTAGGGCCACAGCTTTAAGCTGAGCATCTCTACGGCCCGGGCTGGTGCCACGGCTGCTCGTTACTGGGTTGGGCAGCCCAGGGTGCAGTCATGCATCCCACCCCTGCCTGATCCAGCAGACAATGATGGGAACAGCAATTAACAGCACTTTTATCCCATTGGGTCATGAATCAGTGGGAAACAATCCTCCCTTTCAGAGCAATGAGCTCCTTGCTGCTCCAGCCGCTGTCACAACCTCCTAATCCCGCTGTCACCCTCGGCCGCGCCCATGGGGGTAAATATCCCTCCTCAGAAGGTTTATTCCCTATATGTCAAGGTGGAAAATGCCACATGCAAGCCTTCCCTGGCCAGGAATACACACATGTAGCTCTGCCTGCCCCACACAGCTGCAGGTGAGGTGCAGGAGCTCATCCTTGGATTCCTGTTAACATCATTTCTTCCTGTGAATCAGTAACTCCGTGTGGGGTCTTGTTCGAGGTTACAGCAGGAGAGAGATGGAGCTTCAGACTTCAAAGTTCAATGAATATAACCAGAAAGATTTCCAAAAAACCCTCCAAAAATGGTGTTTTTCCCCATCAGAACAAACCATACCAGGTTGCTCCACGCTGGAGCTGAACAACCCATGGACAGAGGCTTCACCTTCCTCAGCTCTCGGCTCTGGGACACAGATGTGACAAAATCTGTTTTCAGTCCCTACAGTTAAAAAGCTCCACAACCTCTCACCCCTTGTTAGCTGGGGGAAGGAGGTGCTTCTGCTTCTAGAAGAGTCAATGCTGAAAGCCTGGACAGGTGAAGAGCAAGTCCAGGACTCTGGGAGATCGTGGAATAATTAAGGTCGGAAAAGCCCTTTAAGATCAAGCCCAACCATTAACCCAGCATGGTCAGGTCCACCACTAACCCATGTCCCTAAGCACATCTGCATGCTTTTTGAACACTTTCAAGGACTCTTTTTGCTCTTAATTAGATCTAAAAGTACACCCAGCCTTCCCTCTGCAAGAACAAACTCCCAGGGTAAAAAGCATCCAGGCTTTATACATGGAAACAGATTTCACATACAAGAAGACAGCAGGACACCAGAGACAGTAAAACAAACCCTGCCTGCCTCAAACAGTGACAGGGTGTTATTTTGCCTGTGGATTAAACATCATGAAGTATTTAATGGTAAATGTCTGTCAGCCCCACAACCTGCCGAGGGTGAATGGTGCAGGTGAAGCAGTGGAATATTCAGAATATGGACCAACATAACTGGGCTAAAGGACACAGAACTGGGCCCTTCATTTCAATTTAGCTTTTGGCTTCGTGAAACAAACCTTGAGTAACTGTTGAGTTAAAGGGTAACCAAGGGGTTTAAAAGATAAGACACCGCCCGAGTCAAACCAAACAAAGGCCTTAAACTGAAACCACGAGTAGTTTTGGTATGGAGTCACTGGTGTTTTGCACTGCTCTGGGTGGCTCTAACCAAACCTTCCCAATGCTGACACCAGTGCCAGGTCAGCCTGACTTCTTCAGCTGGAGTTCTATAACTTAATGGCAGCAAACAACTTAATTTGCAGCAAACTAATATAACAAATTTTCTCCAGGTGAAGACCCAAGTTCACAAGGATTTTATCATTCTATGATTCATGTAGCCTTTTTACTAAAACCCACACCCCTGTAGTCACTTTTTCACCATTTCTGCCTCTGTGATGACCCCCAACCCATTTTTAGGGAGGACATCAAAAGCAGTTTTAAGGGGAGGCTTTTCCCTCCTACCCTGGGAAGATGATCCTTTGGAAGAGCTGAATCCCCCCGGGGCCAGATCACACTGGAACAGCAGCTGCTTACCCTGGAGGTTGGTGTGTCCCATATGGCCAAACCAAAGTAGTCTTCTTCCAGCAGATTGAGATGGTCACAGACTTTTTTAAGGAGCTCCTGTCCCTTGGCATGTTTCTGCAGATAGACAAAGAAATCCTGTTGGACAGGCTGGGTTTTGCCTGTTCTCACTCACGGGAGAGGGGAGGAAGGGAATGGCACCAAACCACACTGTGAGCCCTGAGTAGCTCCAAACCACCCTTCCTGGCTGTTTCAGAGTAAGGACTCCTTATAGGAAAGAGCATCAGGCATAAGAATTCAATGGAGAGGCAACAGGAATGCAGTGGGTCTCTCTATTCTGAGCAGTTCCATGTCTGAAGCCCCCCCAAAGCCTAACTTCCATCAGAGCTCAGTAAACACCAAGGATCTGTACAGGTTTTCCCTGTCAAGGTACATTCAGAGACCCAATATCTCCTGGATCCAGGCTGTCAGACAACCAGGTGTGGATCAAAAGATGAACCTGCTGCTATGAGCCACTGCTACAGTTGTTCATTTTGGGGACAACCTGACTTTTTTTAGGTTCAGAAAAAAAACAGCAGCTCGAACCCACAGCCCATAATTTTTTGTGGCCTTTCCATCACCCCGATCTGCTGATGAAAATCACCTTCTCCTGTTTGCCTCCTGCACCCAGAGCTGCTCAGCACTTCTTGCCTCCAGAAATACACTCTGAGCATTCCTATTTCCTCTTTCCCCCCCCAAATCCTGCAGAAATGAACTGGCCCTAAGAACAAGATACCCTTTTAGTCCAAAAGCATGAAGGAAAACATCCCTGAGGCATAAAACTATGGCAACCAGAAGCAGCTCATTCCATTGGAGGCTTTGTTAGAAGAAAGTGCCGTTCCAGTGACGCAAAATCAGCTTCACTAATGCCTTGCTGGTGCCCACAGCTCTCCTGTCACTCATCTCTGCATGGCAACTGCTCCAAGACCCCTGCCTGGTTTTATTCCTTGGCTTTATTCCAGCCTTTCAGCTGTCAGGTCCTTTGTGCACATGTTGTGACTCTATAGGTAACATAATGTATGTGTTAGCCTGGGTATCCCTCAAGGAATTGGCAGTGATCTAGGAATGAAAAACCTTCCAGGGGCTGTCAGTTGGAAAGGATGCCTGAAAGCTCTAATTCTCCTTGGATAAAGGCATTTGTGCTGCTCTTTGCCTACACCTTCGCAATTCCTTCCCAATTAAATCTTAATAAACTCCCAAAACGCCAGAGTAGGATTACAGGGGTGTTAAAGCCCAGGGTGCCTGCCAAGTTAAGAGGGTCTCACTGACACAGTGGCCCCTCCTAATCCCCTCTGCAGTGCCCACCACGATCCTCTGGACCTACAGAGAGATTTCTCGTGTCCTGCTCAAGTCAGGGCTCCCCCCACCACCAGCAATGCCTGTGCCAGTATCCAAAGGCATCATGGATACACCATGGTAAGCTGTCACCAGGATTTAGGGGAACAGTTCCCTTTTGGGGGGGCTGCACACAACATCCCTGGCCCAGGGGAAGGAGTTTGGGGCAGGATGCTCCGAGCTGATCCCAGGCAATGCCAGCAGCACCACGTTACACAAACACCCGGCACTGACCTACTTGCCCAGGATCACCCAAGGTGACTGTTCCCACAAGGAACCCTGTGCCCAGATACCCTCTCCTGGCCCATTTACCAGCAGGACTGAGGGAAAACAAGCTGGTGGAACTATGCTCCAGTGGTAAGTACCAGATTATTAATATTCCAGACAAGTACTTCGATACTAAAATAGGGATTTCTGCTTGCTTTTTATTGCCCTGACAGCACCACAGCCCTGTGAGAGAATGCACAGAATAAAGCAGAAGAAAAAGCTCTCAGATGAAGGGGTTTGCAGTGCTCTAAGTCAACATAATAATTTTTAAATTGTTTACTGCAAATATATTCAACTGCAGGCTAAACACAGTGTGTTTTTCTTTATATCCAAGCACCAGCAGCCTGGGAGGTGAAGGGACCTTGGGGAACTAGAAAAGCACACATCAATTTGGCAGCCCATTTTTTTCAAAGGAAAGGGGGCAAAAGATATTTAGACCATCCCAACTTACCCCAAAAACCTAAACTCTGGTCTGGGATACAAATGAGAAAGATGATGAACAGCAAGTGAGATAAAGTTTGGGTTTGTGGTTTGTTTTTTTTTTTAAATCCTTCCTACCTTTACAAAGCAAGACACCCTGGAATTGTAGAACAATAAAAAATAAAGATTCCTAGTACCCAGAGGCTTTTACAACACACTAAATAAGTTGTTATAGCTTACAGCAGGCTTGTTCTGCAGTAAAGCCTGTCATGTAATTCCCTGGCAGCACATTAGGCCCCTATTAAATCGTGTTTGTGGTGATTTTTCGAGAGGAGCAGAAGGGAGAAGGGAGAGAGGAGAAGCAGAACCAAACCCCACAAGTACTTACATCCACAGCACACTCAAAAATGGTGTCATCCAGCAAGACCACTTTGCAGTACATGTTTCTGTGTCTTTTCACTGCTTTCTGGGCAGCTTTCAAATCCTTGTCTCCTTTGGTCTCTGGACTCTCTGGTTTAGGTTCCGGCTTGGCACACTCTTCCTTGGCTTCTCCTTCTTCCTTGTCCTCAGGGTCTTTGCTCTCTGGCTCCTGCTCGTCCCTCCTCTCCTCCTGTGCAGGCTGAAACCCCCCCAAACACCCCAATTTAGGTGTCAAACAAACAAAGCATCACACTAAATAAGCACTGCAGGGCTGGGGCCTCACCCAAAATTCATTATCTGACTTCAACCTGTAACCGAGGACCTGGAGCAGCAGCTGGGGTGAGCAAGGGAATGATATTAATTTTTAAAGCCCTTCCAAGTCATTTTCAAGTCTTCATTTAATAAAGGATGTAATAAAAAAGAAATAAGGGTTGATTAGAAAAATCAAGGCAGATTATATCCTGCAAATCTTCGTGGTGTTAATGACAGCACCTTTTGGACTGGGAAGGTTTTTTCCTCCCAGGAAAGACACCCAGTGCTCCCAGTTACAACCTGGGCCATGGGCTCTGCTCCAGTGCACCCACCCTCAACATGGCAAAGGGGAATGGTTTTAAACTGAAAGAGGAGAGATTTAGATGGGATGCTGGGGAGAAATCCTTCCCTGTGAGGGTGGGGAGCCCCTGGCACAGGTTGCCCAGAGAAGCTGTGGCTGCCCCAACCCTGGAATTGTTCAAGGCCAGGTTGGACAGGGCTTGGAGCAACCTGGGCTAGTGGAAGGTGCCCCTGCCCATTCCAACCCAAACCATTCCATGATTCCATGGCAGCAGTGGCACTAAAAGGGGTGGTCAGGGCTAGGATTTCACGGTCATCTGAGCTGACCAAGCAGCTCTCTGCCACCAAAAAGGGAAGGCAGCCCTCACACCACTGCCCCTTTGCCTACAGAAGCACTTTGTGAGCCAGTTTAATCCACTGAAATAGCAGAAAGAGATGCAGTTTGGGGGCAGGAGGAGGAAGGAAGCTGGTTTTTCTTTTCCCTCTGCCATTTCAGCAGGTTAACCGAGTTCACAGGAGGCTCTGACAAGCACTGGAAGGGCTGGATGCAGCAGGAGCACAGCTGCAGCAGGGGAAGAGCAAAACCTTGTCTGTTCAAGCCATCACATCTCATGAAATCACACCCAGGCACAAGTGCATGGAGGTATTTAAAAACTAAATAATGTCCACAAGCTGCTGACTTCTGTTCCAGCAGAACTGGGACAATCGGGAGCAGGGAATCAGTCAAAGCTCCTAATGCCCGTCGGTCAGCATTTATCAAACTGCAGCACCTCACAACTGCTGTCACAGCAGAAATATCTGCAGAGTGTCACAGTTCAGAAAGCCACTGACTGGGATCTAAAATAAGAACTGGGAAAAAAAAAAAAAGGCACAAACGCTCCGTCTGAAGCGAACAGCCCGTGAAGGAAGGTTGGGGTGAACACTCATGTGTGCTCAGAAGCAGTAAATCAAAGTTAAACTGAGGAAGAAATCATGTATTTAGAATCCCAGAATGGGTTGGGTTGGGAGGAATCTTAAAGATCATCCAGTTCTACCCCCTGCCATAGGCAGGGACGCCTTCCACTAGACCAGGTTGCTCCAAGCTCTGTCCAACCTGACTTTAAAGACTTCCAGTGATGATTCGCTCTTGAAAATACAACTTCTGGGTTGAAATTGTAAGAAAATTTCCAGCTCCTCCTCATCCTGCTAATCCCAACCCTCAGAGGTACAGAACATGAGCAGAGACCATCCCATGGTTTTCACAGGCTCAGAAATTTGGGAAAAGAAAGAAAAATGTGTTACCTACTACCTTCTCTACAGTTTTGTAATTTAAAGGAGGTGGATTTACAGTTATTGCCTACTGGCAATGCTGGAGCTTGTACTGCTCCAAAATCCAGTGTTTGTGGGTACCTGACAGTGCTCTGGAGCCACTCAGAACTAAAGGCAATGGGTAAGAAATCCAAATTTCACCCTGCATTTTCTGTGACTCCAGCAACACACCCAGGTTCCCTGGGTTGCAAGAAATCCCCAGCTGAGGAAAAGGGACACCTTTCTCCAATCCAGGAATGAGTAAGAGCAGAGCTGCCATTACCCAAGGAGTAAGAGAGGGCACCCAACACCCCCAAACCAACAACCAGCTGCAGCTCTATGAACATTCCCTGTGGCTGTGTCTGCCTCAATTTCTACTTTAAATTTTAAAACTTCACATATTTTGCACGAAAAATGACCCTGGCTGGGAAGAGCAGACACCAGACAGCTACCAGGAGCTGGGCTCAGCCCACGAGCCTGCAGAAATCCCTGTCTACGTGATGCATAAGCAGAAAATGTTTGTATTTGGCAGGCTCAGCACCAGCCCAGACTGAGCAGATGACCAAGTCCTGAAATGCTGCGCTTGCGCTCCTTGAAGCTGAAGAAACCCTTCCCTAAATCCAAGCCCTCCACCTCAGGCCACTGACCTGCCCTTATCCTGCTCACACCAAGGAGACCCCAACTGGTTTTGGAACCTCTGAATGTGAACCCTCGTTCTGAGGTGACATCCCAACCTCAGCAGAGCAAAGACTCGTCACAGGGCATTTTAAGTTATGCTGGGAAGTGTTGAGCACAATTCCCAGAGCAGGTACTTGGCAGGACAGGGTGATGCAGGGAGAAGAGTGGGAAGTACACGACGCAACACAGGGAGCTGACACCTCAGTTCACCAGCCTAGGACATGAAGTTTCTATAGTTTTGGCTACAAAGACACATTTTTAGGACAGCAGGGAGCCCATCCCACAGGATGGGGTGTTTTACCTGTGTTTCTGCACTGCTCAAGGAATGGAGATCCAGTGACGGGTCGGTTTTGAGCTCAGGCTCGGGAGCTGCGATCGGCGCTTTCACTAGGATGTCTTCATCAGGGCTGGCTCCTAATCCTGCGCCTTTCTGGTCACCTCCTGCCTCTTTAGGAGCATCAGTGTCTTTTTCCTCTTCGGACACCTGAGATTTGGGCCTCCTGAGGAAGGAGGAGAAGAGGCGGGACAGGCCCCGGCCCTCAGAGGTGCGACGTTCCTTCTTGCTCTGCTCCTCGTGTGTAGGGGTGTCTCCGTTGGAGGCCTTTTGCTTCTGCCCCTGCCCCTCTGACGTGGGCTGAGCCCCTTCCTCCAGAGAAGCCTCCTGCTTCTGTGCTTCAGCAGCTCCTTCCTCCTCCTTGGCTTGCTGCTGGTCCGAGCTGTCGGCGTCCGCCGCTGGGCTCTTCTCTGTTGTCATGGTGGTGCTGCAAGAGAGGAGCAGGAGGGCTCAATCCAGAGGTGGTTTCCAACATTCAAGTCTGGTTGAGCTGCTCACAAGCCAAGCCACGAGCACAGGCACACCACATTCACCAGTCACACCAGCCTGCCACAGAATCACAGAACATTCTGAGTTGGAAGGGACCCACAAGGATCGAGTCCAACTCTTCAGGATTGAACCCCTGCCAACTCCAGCCTACAGAGTCACTAAGAGCAAAACCATTCCTTTTGCTATGGTTTGCTTTGATAGAAACATCTCTGTTGATGTTTGCCCCCCACCCTTTGGACAATGCTGAGAGAGCTGGGGCTGTTCAGCCTGGAGAAGAAAAGGCTCTGGGGAGACCTTGGAGCCCCTTCCAGTGCCTAAAGGGGCTCCAAGAGTGCTGGAGAGGGACTTGGGACGAGGGATGGAGGGACAGGACAAGGGGGAATGGCTTCCCACTGACACAAGGCGAGGCTGGATGGGATACAATTCCTCCCTGTGAGGGTGGGGAGGCCCTGGCACTGGTTGCCCAGAGAAGCTGTGGCTGCCCCATCCCTGCAAGTGTCCAAGGCCAGGTTGGACAGGGCTTGGAGCAACCTGGGACAGTGGAAGGTGTCCCTGCCCTTGGCAGGGGGGTGGAACGAGATGGGCTTTAAGGTCCCTTCCAACCCAAACCAATCTGTGATTCTGTGACCCAAACACACCAAACCACACTGATGGGGACAGGACTCATTGGTGTTGATCAACTATGTTGATCTGTACAAGACCAGTCCAGTGGAGCCGAGCAGGCTTTGGGATTCATGGAATCTTTGGATAGCACACAGCAAAAACATAGAACGAAAAGGTTTCCAAACAACACCCATAATACAGAGCAAATTTCCTCAGAGCCTGTGCTATTAAACTGATGCAATGTTTATTTCAACTTTAGCCTGGGCTGTTGACACAAAAAGATGGAAATCACATGAGAAGAATATCTATTTAAGGTATAAAGAGGACCCAAAATAATCATGCTTTAGAGGGGGATAGAACTAATCTTTGTGCGTTGCATCACATGTATCTGCAGCAATAAATTGCCACTGCTTACACTGAGCAAATAGCATATAATCCAATATGCCTCAATCCCCAGCCCGAGCCTCGGCGCACAAACATTTGCTCAAAACACAGACCTAAAATTAGGAAACGTTTCAAGATGTCACCCTCCTACGTATTATTGCATTCATCAATTTTAATTTAACTCATGCTGATTGCCAAAAGAACCAGAGTGCTGGAAGAAGAAAAGCCCCCCCCAGCTCTCCAAAGGACTCTTCCCTTGCATTTAATGCAAACACTTAATTTTATTCCTAATGCTGTGGTTACACCAGGGCAGCATCAGAGACCCTCCCTGAGTTTGTTCCTCCAGTAACGCAAATTTCCTGAGGTTACAAGGTTTGACTTGAGGTTTTGGTGGTTTTATTTCTTTTCAGGGAGGGCTTTTGGAAAAGAAGGGATGGAACCCACTGGCTCTGTGCTTCCATTGGAGCAGTGTCAGATTTAGGACAGGCTCTGAAACTGTGTTGGGGCAGGGTCAGGTTGGATTTCAGGAAAAGGTTCTTCCCCCACAAGGTGGTTGGGCACTGACCAGGCTCCCCAGGGCAGTGGGCACAGTCCCAAGGCTGCCAGAGCTCCAGGAGCGTTTGGACAACGCTCTGAGGGACAGGGAGGGATTGTTGGGGTGTCTGTGCAGGGCCAGTGGTTGGACTGGATGATCCTTGGGCGTCCCTTCCAACTCAGAATACTCTGCTATGAAACCACTTCTCCCACAATCCACTGCCAGGGATGCTGCTGGCCCTGTTAGCAACACTCTGCAGAGTCCCCCCAGCCACCATGCAGCCAATTCCTGCTCTCAACAGCTCTCCAAGAACTCCTGGAGATGCCACAAGGCAGTGGAAGGGGCAAGGACTATCAAAAACCCATCAAAAGCCCACGATGCAGGACAGACTCGCCACGGCCAACTCCCAGGGCAAAGCTCCCAATGTCCTGGCACACATGGATCGGGATGGATGCTCTGCAAGCCTGTCCCACCAGGATCACACGCCGACAGCGAGCTCCCTCTGGCACCAGCTGCCAGAGCAGCCTGCTTTGTAGCTGCTTCCCACTGTGTTTGTTTTGAATAAACACATTTGTAGGAATCCTTATCAAAACACACAACGTCGGGCGCGCGTTGCTCCTCAGACTAGAAAGGCAGAACCGGGGCTTTGGAGATGAGGATGGTGGGGAGGGCACAGCTGAGGAGCAGCTCTTATCAGCCACAGGAAACCAGAAGGACAGTCCACAAAGGAACATTTCCTCTGGATGTACTTTTCTCTCCTCAAATTCTAGAACAAGGATTGTTTACTTGTCTACATTTCAAAGCCGCAGTCCCGGACCTTTCCCGATGTAGGAAGGTGGGTCTCGCTGGCAATGAGAAAACATCTCCTTGTCTTAAACATCTCTTTGTCTTTCCTCCATCCCTGGGGATTCCAGGCTGCAGCTCAGCCAGATCCCCTCGGCAGGGCTGGGGATGCGGAGATGGGCACGTAGGAGCCCTGCCCTTCCCAATAAACATTTCATAGCTGCCAGCACCAATAACTCACTGGGTGCAGCAAACATCCTGCTGCAAGACCCGAGCGAGCTGCTCCGACCCAGGCTCACGGCTGGATCCCTCCCCTGCGAGTTTTATGCTCAGAAATGGTTTTCCCTGCGCTCCCCGTCAAAAGCAAAGAGATCAGTAAGCAAAGAACGTAACTGAGAGGTTGCCCAGGGCAAAGGGGGGAAAGGAGATGGTCTTTAAGGTGCTTCCAAGCCAAACCAGGCTGCGATTCTGTGATTATCCAAGACAAAAAGCACCTTGGCTGCACTGGCCAAGTGGTGCTTTGTTTCCATCCCAGCCCACAGCAGAGCTGACAAGAAGAGCAAAGTTCCCACTCCACTGCTCCTCAATGCATCCTTGGGAGAAAGCACAACCCACAGCCAAACCACAAGCATGTTTCTATTTAAATTCAATTTTTCTTCCTTCACTATCCTACAAGGTAACTCTGCCAAGCCTGCAGGTGCCTCAGGAGCTCCCTGGATGCTGGAGGAGGATGCTCTGCTCTTGTAGGAGCACTCAAGTGGTGCTGCTCACCTCCTGCTCTGAGCTGCCACGCTTGCAAATACTGCATTTGGGGTTTTTCTTTGGTAGAGGCTGAAGGTTTGATGCCAGACAGCCTGCAAAAGGCAGGCTCTTCACAAGTCTGGTGTAGAGAAGGTGTCTGATGCTACAGAAATAAGGAAACCACAGCAAAACTCAGATATGATCCCAGAGAGAGATTTCAGAGTGAAAATCTCACCAGAAAATATGTATTTATATTTAAGCATTTTTTAAGTTTAAAAACATCCTCCAGACAAGAAGGCTTTGGCAACAGGAAGCAACCTGAAGAAAAGGGAGTTAAATACTCCCAGAGAAGAAAAAAGGCTTTGTCCCACTGGGGACACTTGCAACCACAAGTTGATCTCTCACCAACCAAATCCCCTTCACCTGCCAGAGGAGGATCTGGACCTCCTGGGAATGTTGGAAGAGGCTTTGGCAAAACATCTCCTCTCAAAAGAAACAGGAAGTTGAGATATTTGTCTGTCACCCTCTCCTACCTGTCAGCTCCTCCAGTGTCTCTGATTTAGGCACACAAATAACTGTAGTGACAATACCTGAAGAAGGGCAAAGTTAATTAGAAATTAGGAAGAAATTGTTCCCTGTGAGGGTGGGGAGGCCCTGGCACAGGTTGCCCAGAGAAGTTGTGGCTGCCCCATCCCTGGAATTGTCCAAGGCCAGGCTGGACAGGGTTTGGAGCAACCTGGGCTAGTGGAAGGTGTCCCTGCCCATAGCAGGGAAGGAGAGGGTCTTTAAGGTCCCTTCCAACCCAAACCAGTCTGTGATTCTGTGATAGAAAATCTAACTTATCCCTGCTTCCAAGCCTGGAAAAATGATTTATGGCTCACACCACAGCTTACTTAATTCCCAGTGGCTTAGTCTTTCAGAGAGAGAAGAAAAAGGACTGTCCACGGGGCAGGTTCAGTTCTTGGAAACCCAAACTGTCTCACAGCGATGCCCAACACCAGATAAGGGTGATCATGGTGCTGGGACAAATTGTCTTGACCTTCCTACCCAAAAACGTGTGGCTTCTCAGAACACTGCTTCTCCAGCAAGAGCTGGAGACAATGATAAGAGAAAAATTTCTGCTAAATATAGGCAAAAATCAAATAGTTTCAGCAACAGCGTGGTGGGTTGTTTTTTTTTAAATGTGTTCCTTCCCATTTCATAATGTGTGTGAAAAGCACACAATTCACCAGAGAAATTACGCAGAACACTGCTCAAAATAGACAGCACAGACTGAAAATTCAGTTTAGTCAAGACCTGGTCCACGTGCAACAAACCTGAGGGTGGGAGAGGAGGAAACTGCAGCCGCCCCCAGCAGGACTCACCCCACGCGTGTGTGAGTTACGTGTCCTACACGTGATTTTTTTACTACAGTTAAAAAAACATTCCAAGGCCAGGTTGGACAGGGCTTGGAGCAACCTGGACTAGTGGAAGGTGTCCCTGCCCACGGCAGGGGGGTGGAATGAGGTGGGCTTTAAGGTCCTTTCCAATCCAAACCATTCTGGGATTCTATGACCACAGCAGAAAGCTGTTTGTTAGGGGGGTTTAAATAAAACAAGAAATTCAAATGCAATAAAATAAGCCCCTCGATAAGGAATTCAAACAACCTTAAAATACTCTAAAGCACCAGAACCGTTCGGAATTTATTTAATATATTTTATTAGAGGAATAATTAGCGCTGACATTTATAACCCCTGTTAGAATTAACGTGCACAATCTTTCCGTGCTGGTACTTTGGGTCCTGAACAAAAGAGATGCTGTCACTCAGCCTGACCTGGAGGGTAACAGGAGACTCCAGGAGCCTCATTGAACAGAGGAAAAATAAACCACCCAACACAACACAGATGGCACAT